CTTGGTTATATTAATTTCAGTTTAATACGTTTTTTAAATTGTCATCACATCTATACTAATTATATTGATTAATTTCATTTTAACACTTACCAGAGCTGATATAATTTAAGTTCAAATTGATTCACTAGCCACTGCTTTCTCAAATTTACGCACTCAAACTAAAGTTAATGAAACGACAAATTGCATTGAAGGCTTGATTATTCTAGTGAAAAAGTGTTCGCAACTCATTTATACTAATAAATAGATAATCAAAGTGAGTCATTTAATATTACCGAGGTTATCGAATCTTGATTTAGTGTATAGTCCATTGTTTTCACTGTACTTTATCTTATTGTTTACATACTCATTGTCTTGACACACAAATTTGGTTTTTCACGCGTGACTTTTACAAACAGATTCGACAAGCAGATATAAAATAAATAAGTGACTAATCAAATATATGTAGATAAGAGGTCTTTGAACTTGTGCAAGATGTTAGCTGCTGAAATCTAATGAGATACATCATTGAATAATATTAATAATAATAATAATAATAATAATAATAATAATAATAATAATAATAATAGACATTTAATTTTCTTAACACAATAAAATTCAGTAATCCAAATATAAATACATGTTTCTTATTTCTATTGTGACTAACCACGAAGTTGAAATGTCATTTAGGTTATACTAAAATTCCTTTCTGACTACCACTAATATAATTTTTTCAACTCAATCAACAATCGTCTAAGAATGTTTATCAGTCAAGAACTGAATACTACTGCATAATAATGTACAATAGCTGCCAAAAGTACAGAACTCTTCGATTACTAGTTAGAATCTTCGACTACATAGATGTTAAAACATTCTTTACTTTGTGAACAGTGTTCGGTTGGTTAAAATTTAAGTGTTCCATGCAAACACCCAACCTCTGTTTGAAAAAAGTCAGTGGGTTTTTTTATTAAGGTCCAAACAACTTTAGCTGAATTGATTCTAAGAATCTCAGACAGACAGGCTAGACTAGACCTATTTCCCTGTTATACAAAAGGAACCGTGGTGATTTAATCATAGTCTTTAAAATTATTTAGTTATCATTTTGCGCCTAACTTAGTTCCATTCTGCTTGCCTTCTAGAGCAGGGGATTAACGAGGACGCTTGAAAAATTTCATAAGCTCTGAAATAATTACATGTTAGCTGACTACTGACTTTCACATTAAAACATCAATATATAGTTAAAGCTCCTTTCATCAACGCATTCAAAAGAAAGTCAGACAAGCTGAAAAAACATCATTACCAGAAATAACGCAAAGCATCCAACCTATTGTTCTTCTCGAACTGAAACTGTGACTGTTAAGATTAATTCACAATTCATCCTAATGAGTGGAAATCTCATATAGATATTCAAAATCCCTATAAACCAATATTGCATATTTTATGACTAACTAAACATCCTCGATCGATTATTATAGTATGTAACACTAAGTCATTACAAATTGTAGGAATAATTCATATCACATTTATTTGATAGTAGCCTTTTTTACACTAGAGTGACTGACAGAAATTTGAAAAAGAATCCAAGATTTGAGTATCATTCTATTTATGGGAATAACTTTTGTTGCCAGGAGATATGTATATTTGTATCCTATATCTATATCCTTCAACTAGCAATCAGAAAATTTGTTTCAGTCTCCCACTGTATGATAAAGTTGGAGAACTATTCCAAGATTATTCCCTTTGATATTTTTATGGAACTGAATCTTAAAAATCACTGACATAACTTGAAATGCTTAAGTCACCGACGACGGCCAATACTTTTTATGATTTACATTGTATTACAAAAAATGCTCCGGAAATCCTACCGTATAAATTATAATCCCAATTGATTTACTTAGTAAATAATTTTTAGCACTCATCCCCCTTTGAAAATTTTCACTGATTCTTTTATGCATGATTCAACTTATTATACACAGACATTTAGTCTACTAATCTCCTGACTAACATTGTGTAAGTTTAATCAGTCTTAGTGGTATTTAATGAAATTCAATCTAGAAGTAATGTCACTCCTTTTAAAAAAGTATGAAATCAAAATAACAATATCCGCTTAACTACTGAAACTAAATCCATTCATGATTATAACGAAGACGATGATGATGATGTTCTAGTCGGGAAAATGTTAAACATGTAAACCTGCTATTATAAATGCATGTGAATAAACTCACAGTTAAATTAGTGAACATGTTTTTCACTCAAGTTATTTATTGGTATTAATCATGTGCAATCACCACATTTGACAAGCCTTCTCATTGTTAAATTATTTACCCGCTCAATAATTTCATTATCCCTAACTGGATATGAATCACTTTAGTTACTAAGTTCTATAATAATGAAAATAATAATTACATTTAATTCGGATAAATATAAAGAGATGATAAAGAGAAACATGATGATCATAACTACAAGTTTTGTTGTTTAAATGAACAATAAATGAGAATGATAGAAACTAGGAGAAGTAAATTAACATAGGATAATTGTGATATACATCTTATGATCTTAATTTTTTGAAAGCCTATTTCTATCATTTAAAAATAGGACACCTGTTCATGTTACCTACATGAATAAGTCATATAAGAAGAAGAGAAATTTACCCAGGGTTTAAAGTTTCTTACAAAACAAATGACAATACATAATAAAAGCTGTCAGGTTTAAAGCTTATCTTCATTATTAACTAACACTATTGAAAATTATTAATTTATAGTTAGTTGATGCTGAAGAATCATCAGTTATCTGTATATTCAATTCTATATGGCGTTTTACGTCTTAAGGTAAATGTGTTTCTATCAGTATAGGGTTGTGGAGATTATTAAGTTTTTGATTGAGATCATGAATCCATTGATGTTAGACCACCATTGAAAAACTGGAAGCAGTGGACAGCCGTTTTGTCCTATCGTGGGAATCCTCGACAGTGCGCATCGACGACCACGCTCGCAGGATTCGGACCCAGGGGCTTCGGTCTCACGCGCGAACGCTTAACCTCTAGACCACTGAGTTGGCCGGCATCCAACGGTGTTAATGTCTAATCTTAACCAATCCATGAAATTGCGCGACTGTCTTCTATTGTACTTAAGTAGATACCTCTTTCTACCCAACATGGATTAGCTCCACTGGTCACGGCCTCTCAATCAAACAATATGTTTCTGTTGAATGGGAAGCGGTTGGTTCACATGTTTCAATTTTGGTGAATGCAACTGTTAGTTAGTGTTCATCAGTAAGCAACTGCATCGATGTTAACTTAGCTAACTCTACCAGGATCATGGTTTACAACTCAAACATCAGGGAATCTATTTTAGATTCCTCAGAGTACGTGTTTTCTAGTTGTTGTTATTAAATAATTCAGTTGATCATTCACTATTGTAATATGCACATACCCGTCGCATAAGCCAGCACCTATTTAGGTTCAGTAACTCAATGGATTGTCCATTAGTTGTTTGAAAGGAAAAGTACTAGTTCTGAGCTTTGGTGTGAATTCCAATACTAGGATGCATGTAAATTCATCTCATGAGTCTCCATTAGGACGAAACCTGAGGCCCAGATTCCATTGCTACGCACTAACTAGCTTTATTAAAAATCGATTTGAATGTTAGTCACTTGTAAAGTAGATTATTCTAATAAGATTCTCTCAATTATTTTGAATGTAACTATATGAAGGAAGCGAATCATCCATTTAGCTACTGAGTCTTAATAGCCAATTACTTGTGCTATGGGGTGAAGTTTAAATTTACTTGGCACTGTTTACTTGACTCAGTATCTAAGTGGATAACGCGATGACGTTCGAAGCGAATGGTACTGGGTTCGAGTCCCGGAGTGAACATCAACCCTAAGATGCAGGTACGTCCAGCTCATGAGTCCCGAATAGGACGAAGCACGCGTCCAGTATTCTACTGCTAGCCACTATCTATATTTGCTTATATTCTCAGCTAGCTTTATTTCACGGTTTATTAGTATAGCCCCGTTTAAATGATATGTTTTTAAGAATTATTTTATTACTATTTATATTCGCGTGTAAAATCCTTGGTGAAGTATTCTAAGATAACTTATTTAAATCCCTGGACTATATATGTCTTAATTGTACAAACATTACAGTGATGTTCCCCATTCTGGATTTACTACAGGTAAATAATTAGTTCTGTTAACCACTTTATGTACTGAAATACTTTTTTGCAATACATCATGATGTTAGTCAGCACAATACTCATGTTGTGAGTCTTGAGGATCAGAGTTTTTAGTCAGAAACATTTTTGGGTGATCTTCGTACAGAAGTCCTGATATGAAACCTGATAAGTTAACACTTCATATTGGTTAGCCCCAACATTAACGATTTGATTTGATTTTATATGACAAACAACAATTCTTGAGTCACATATTACAGTTTTAAGTGATGGATTCTGCCTTTAATCTGGCCGATTTTATGGATTATTAATTTGGATTTATAATTGTAGAACCTGATGATAAATTATTGAAAAGAATATTCTTCGTTCATATAATTGTGTTTTTCTAGTTCATGTCAATTCGTGGTGAAAATCACATACAAACTCAATTCATCAACATTACAACTTCTACACATTTTGACTACTGGGATATATTAAATGCTGAATGATTCCCCCCCCCCCCATAATGGTTTTTTGTATCTGGGCCTGTGATTCACTATCGTGTTATATTTTTAATTCTATTAATCTCATTTACAAGCATATGAACTGTTTAATGTTCCAGAAATCAGAAAGCAACAACATATTTATTGGATAAAATAAAATGTTTGGTTTCAGTGAATTCAGAAAATATTCTTTTTTTCAAATAGCCTCTGAGTTAAATGCTTCCCTTTTTAGTAATCGCTTTTCCCTTTGTTAGAAAAAATGACTATGTACATGGTCATTTTAATGAAATAATGTAAATGTAACTTGAAAGAACGCAGATTATTCCGATTGGTCTAATTATGTTTCTGTCTCCTTTATTTTGTCCAATCAAAATCACGTATATTTTACTTGAGGCATACACCTTTTCTATTTAAAACCATACAGTTATAAATTTTTATTTCATTATTTTCACATTCTTGCTTTACTTCAAAGACATTATGTCGCGAAGTTGTATCAGAAATCTATCACCGATTCAACGAAAACTTCTAACAAAACGAAGATGTCAATCTACATTCAAACCACTCAGTGGATTGAATAAAAATACTCGAAAAAGAACATGCTTAAAAAGATTAAATGATAATAATTCTTTAAAACCACATCAAATTGAATGTGAACGATTGAAGGAAATTCTACCAACTGTTGCAAATTGTGAAAATTTGGATGAAGTAAGTTATTAAACCTTACAATCATGTATATACTGTATTGATGTTGTATATAGAGTTATTTTTAGAAACACTGGAACTCTACAACTTTGTCATACCTTTTGTTGCAGTCTGGATTGAATTTCCAGGACTGTAACTGACCAATATTTATTAGGATATATGCACCCTGTGTGGTTTGATTTGATATTGCTTTAGTGATAAATTTTAATACACTTGGATCGTGGCTAAAAGTGGAGTGTTGTTTTGTACTATTTTGTACTGGATGTATCTGGATCCAAGATCTCACATATATACAACTGGTTGTTAATAATTGTAGATCATATTATATTATGTTTATAATAAGATTCGAGAAAGCTTTTGGTGTAAGACTAAAACTGAGAATTCTCTAGGCAAGAGCAAAAGAGATCCTCATAGCATACAAGTTTACCCACAGATTGCTTAAAAAGGACTTCAATCCTCAGATTATAACTCTAAAATAATCTTCCACTTTATATAAAACGTTTACTGTTCGTAATAGTAATCTATGACTACTACTGTAATCAGTTATTTAACTTCGATTATTAAGAGAATAGAAACAAAGACATACCTATAAGCATGTCAATATCTGTATTAGGCAGCTGATGAGAACCTAACGAAGTAACATAAATTCGTATTATTCTGCACCAATCTTTGTTTCTGCTCTCTCTACAATAATAAAAGGACTTATGTATAGATAAAATTCGATCATAAAACTATTAAATTAATCACGTTCTTAAAACTAATCTCTTTGATATTGACAAATTTTTAAAGATCACGTATTTTTTAATATCAGTTTAACGTCCTACATTTACGTGCGTTTTCCTTAATTCAAATGACAGAATTGACAGTTTTACCAATGACTATTTACATTGTTTACATAAGTTAAGTTATTTTGATGTTTTTTTATCAGAAAAAGAAATCCAATGAGCCGTTTAATGAGGCAGATTAATCATTGTCAGATTTCGCTTTGCTATTATTTTAATAAACAATGTAACTTTGCTTATCCTGCCGACCACTCATTTGTGGTAATCTGAAATTTATCATGTACTCTGTTATATAAATGGAAGTTCGTGTATACATACATACATCTTTTTACCCGATTAATTCTTCTATTAGGTGAAGATTATTCAAGAAGCAATAAAGCATATAAACTATTTAGAACAAGCAGTACTTCGACGATTAAATATTATCAATGTAGAAACTTCAATTGAAAACAGTAAGTTTTGTTTTGTAATGTTTGTGCTATTATGATCATTTGATTGAGATCATGAATCGACCAATGTTAGAACATCATTGAAAACCTGAAAGCACTGGGCGGTCGTTTCATCCTAGCACGGGACTCCTTGGCAGTTCCTATTCACGACCTTGCATACGGAACTCAAACTCAGAACCTTCGATACTACGCGGACGCTAAACCTCCAGCCCACCGAGACGGCATGCAGGATCGTGGATGATCACTGCTGAGGAGTCCCATACTAAGACGAAACGGTCTTCCAGTGCTTTAAGGTTTTCAATGGTGGTCTAGTTTTGATTGACTCATTAATTTAACTATCAAATTACTAAAATCTCCACAACCCAATACTGATTATTATGATCAGTTTGTTAAAGTTTCATCAGATTATTTATAATTTAGTTTAATTCTCAAAGCGATTGATTGAGAAGAGTAATAGAATGCCACATAATGTATATTTTCTCTTTAATAGTCAGTGTACCTTCAACCATGGTATAGGGATATTGTAGTTTGAGGAAATTAAGATATTTACAGGTCTTGTAAAATGGTTGGTATAGTTCAAATACGCTAATTCTACTTGTTTGTCTTAAATATATTTTCTTTTCAGTGGTCAAAAAACCGAAATTCGACGAATAACATAATGAATTAATGAATAGAAATTTGCAGTTTATAATATTAAGTCTCAAATATTTAATTAAAATATCTACTATCTATTACTTTTGTTAAGTTACTAATAGAACTTATCATGCCCTGTAGTTTTAGCCACATTTTTTTTAGCTTATTTATACCAATTTTCTAATAAAATAAAGGTAGAAATACTGAAGTTACTCAGATAATAATTGCTAATAGCATCCAGCTGAAAATATTTCGATGTTTAAACTAGATGCTATTCCTTGCATCTGTTGCAACTTGTAGGTGATATTTTCAAGTTGTTGAATGAATACGTCTACTTAGAACTTGAAACAAGTTCGTCTTAGAAATAAACATCTGAATAATGTTAGTAACTATCAGGTCATTTATACACTTAATAATCATATATGTATGTTTTGTTAAGTCAATAGAATTATTTATGTAAATGAATAACACATGTTCTGTTCACATATCACTTGGTATGATTCCAAATTCTTTATGTATAAAAATAAATGTTCATGTGTGTATATAATATGTATGCGTGCTACCATCAGATAATAAATAAATAGCTCATTTAAACATATGGTTAAATTCTCAAAATGATATTGTAGTAGAAGTAATAATAATAACGACTTCATCCAACGGGTTCATTCCGATTCTCATTTAAATAGTATATTTTAATCTTGAGCTAATTAGTTGAATTAACACAATTAAGAAGTATTTCACTCTTGTACAAAATTTGTCTCGTTACTAGAATGGGGATTTGTGGAAATTGTAGTAATTTTATCAGTTGAATTTGAGTCGATCTAAGCTAGACCACCATTAGAAACCTGGAAACGCTAGACGGCCGTTTTAGTCTCAGTGCGCATCCGCGACAAAGGGTTGAGCAAGATCATGAATCGGTTGAAGTTAGACATTAACACCGTTGAGTGCCGGCTCACTGGTATAGAGGTTAAGTATCCGCACCTGAGACCGAAGGTCGTGGACTCGAATCCCGCATGAGGGATCGTGGATGTCCAATACTATGATGAAACGCCCGTCCAGTGCTTTAAAGTTTTCCGTGGTGATCAAGCTTAGATCGGCTCATATATTCAACTGTTTATACTTGTCCAGTTCTCAAAAATTGACAATAACAATGTATGAGTTTAATTCATTTACTAAAGCAACGATGTTCATTATTGTAACATATCCAGAATATCTCGATACTAAAACATTATTACAAAAAACTGTCGATATTGAATATGATTCTTTTATAACATGTTGAAAATATTAAATGACAGAGCTTTGGACAAAAAGTGATTACAATTAAACCTAATTCTTTTTGAAAAATAATATTTTTTTCATCAATTCACTATTTTTTTTCTTTTCTTCATCCTACAGGTAGTCTTCATTCTTCCTCATTGTCATCATCCTCCTTACTTCCAGCGTTCATTTTTAAATTATTATCTAGTCAGAATAATCAATCACAATCAATATCGGAAGAGAATTTGCTTTTTCATGTTAATGATTCCTATCATAACAGGCCTCAACTAAATAATAATTACATAACTGATGATAATTTTTTATCAAAATCCTATGAATATTTAAATTCCAATGGTAGTACACCATATCAGACAGATGATGATATTGATCAACTGGGGTAAAAGGACATAATAAAAAGGAAACTTTATTAAATACTACAATTTCAGCGCCTTGTAAATAAAAAGTGAACATATTTGACGGTTAGCAACCAAAACCACTGTTGGACACTAAAGTCAATTAACTGTACATAAAAATACATGCATTATTGTACATACGTTATTTTGATTGAATTAAATATTTAAAGAGATACATTATGAATGATTATAAATTCTTATTTGGTTTTATTATATATTCAGAGATGTCATTACGAAAATATACATCTGTTTTGAACTCTGTTTTAAAGTTTTCTGTCGTCATGAGTAATAGTCATTTTGTTTAGAAATTTAGTTTATTAGTCCTAGAGTGTGAACTGAAAAAAAACACGGTTAAAGGCCAACTACAGAAAACCTTAGGAGCTAAGTTTTATAGTGATTACCAATTAACAAAACCTATTTGTAATATTCAAGAATATGGTGCTTACATACAACTAGTCAGTCAAGTTGATACCAGTGAATTATCTACAGACTAGGCAAGGTTGCTTACTCTCACCCTTTCTCTTTCTCCTGGTCATCGACTGGATCATGAAGACGTCAACATCTGAAGGGAAGCACGGGATACAGTGGACATCTAGGATGCAGTTGGATGATCTACACTTCTCAGATGATCTGGCTCTTCTATCGCAAACGCAACAACAAATTCAGGAGAAGACAACGAGTGTAGCTGCAGCCTCAGCAGCAATAGGTCTCAATTACACAAAGAGAAAAGCAAGATTCTCCGGTACAACACAGCATGCACCAATTCAATCACAATTGACGGAGAAGCTTTGAAAAATGTACAAACCTTTACATATTTGGGCAGCATCATCGATGAACACGGTGGATCTGATGCATATGTGAAGGCACGAATCGGCAAAGCAAGAGCAGCATATTTACAACTGAAGAACATCTGGAACTCAAAGCAATTTTCAACCAACACAAAAGTCAGAATTTTCAATACAAATGTTAAGACAGTCCTATTGTATGTGGCGAAAACCTGGAAAACTACGAAAGCCATCATCCAGAAGGTATAAGTGTTTATTAACAGTTGTCTACGCAAAATACTTCGGATCCGTTGGCTGGACACTATTAGCAACAACCTACTGTGTGATAGAACAAATCAGATCACAGTGGAGGAAGAAATCAGGAACAAGAGCTGGAAGTGGATAGGACACACATTGAGGAAAGCACCGAACTGCGTCACAAGACAAGCCCTCACATGGAATCCTTAAGGTTAAAGGAGAAAAGGAAGAACAAAGAACACATTACGCCGAGAAATGGAGCTAGACATGAGAAAAACGAACAAAAATTGGATGAAACTAGAAAAGAAGGCCCAGGACAGAGTGGGTTGGAGAATGCTGGTTGGCGGCCTATGCTCCATTAGGAGTAACAGGCGTAAGCAAGTAAATAATCATGATCACACTATACGTCTATAGCACAGAGTATGTAAATTACAAGTTATCTAAGTATAAAAACGACTATGATGAAGCGAATAGAATACATTCTCTAAATAAGAGTATAAAATATGACAGTAAAAAACGAGAAGTGATCAGCTAATGAAAATTTTCGAAGACGAAAATCGTGAGGTGTATACTTCTGAACGGTAACGTTCAATGTTTCGCTTAGCTCTCATTAAAATGTGCCTTTGTTGAATTCAGTCAAGTGTATGATAATGTTTAGATTCACTCAGTCTGACTATAGAATGATAAGAATTTCATCCAGTAATATGTTTACAGATCTGAAAGTCAGAATTCAGCAAGTGATAGTGCATATTTCAGCAGCTTTTTTTAAAACGAGACTATTGTATAACAGTCGACTTGTCTGTTTGTGTTTGGATAAAAGCGCCTTTATTCAAAGTCCTTGGGTTGTTCTGGTTTCATTATTGACTCTATAAGAATTGAAAGACTAATTAGTGAACCTTAAAATTATAAATCATACCTAGGTCTTGATTTAATAAGCTAGGAATTATTCTTATCCAATCAGTATTAATATTTTACACAGATGTGTTTTTTTCACATTTAAACCTTGTTCACAGTAGGATACGACTTGCTTAAACATGTTTTTTTAACATTCTTTATAAAAGATAAAACAAATACATTTCGATATGTTTTTAAAGTTATAATACTGTTAGTAGTAGTATGCTAAGAAGTGCTATCAGTGAAATCCGGGACGTTCACTTTTTCCAGTTTGGGTCTTTCAGTTTGAGGTACATGTATCCCAGTGTTGATATTCATCCAGGACTCAATGTGGTATCTAATGAGCTACTGATTTTTGATAGCTACCAACTTTTAAGATGGTTATGAATTATATTTTGCCGTTCTGGATTCTGCTGCTAGTCTTAATCCAAATGTGCTAAAATACTTGCAACTTAATAACGACATCAAGATAATCAGCTCAGAATGTATATATGTCAAGGGAGATTGGTAAATCACAATTCTTAACATCAACTGCGAGAAGATATAAACCGTTATTAGTAGAATCATGTAGGTTTTTGTATCATTTTTGTCTGTTTATATGTGAGTGTTTATTTAAACAACAGAGTTGTAATTACTGATAAAGTCGGAGCAATATACATTTATACCGTCGTAATCACAATCGATCTAAGTTAGACAACTATTGGAAATCTGGAAACACTAATATAGTACTCCTCAACAGTACGCATCCATAACCCCGCAATGGGAAATCAAACTAAGGACCACCAGTTTCGCGTGTGAACACTTAGACTCTAGACAACTGAGCCAGTCACCAGTGGTGTAATCCAGTCAATTTGCAGATGTCCATTGCTTTCAGGTATTGAATGGATGTATAACTTAGACCGATTCGTGATTTCATTGTAATCTGTCTCCGCAACGCAATACTGACTACCTAAAATGTCTACCTGTTCATCGCTTACTTGCCTGTTTTCCTCTTAGAATTTGTTTTCCACATGAAATATAATTTTTCTATCTTTTCATTGATCTTTAAATTCCAGATTTACAACAAAAAGTGAATTAGTAGTGTAAAAGTGATTAAATGATGTAAATGTTTGTTAGGCTTATAGATTTGTTGAAATACAATAACACGATTACAGGAAGTTTTCACTCAGTTCACCTGAAGTAATACATAAATAATAACGTAGAAAAATTGTACACTTGTGCGATACGATAAAATCTTAGTCAGCGCTTATTTTGATCTAAATGATAGCTAGTATAAATTTGTATGTCTATGTCATTGTTCAGTGTCTCAATAGTAGTGTGTTTAGTAATTTAACTCAGCGGATGTATATATGGATCTAAAATGTTGAACTTATTATTTCTATAATGCTCATAACATTAGATCAGAATTTTTAAAGTATGGTATTAATCAATATGAAAAATTTACCATGAACTATCTGTTTTCCAAGTTTTATGATAGGTAACTTTTCATTTGTTTATTAACCGCTAACATGTTCACATATATATTCACTAATATTAATGTTAATTTGTAACATGAAACATTCAGTATTTAAATATGACAAAGACCAGTTATGATATTAACAAATATCTCTTTTATAGAATCTATTTATTCTAGTTCATATAACAAGTGGTATCACACTAAAAAAAAAAAAGCAAAACACTCGTTCTTCCCTTCAGGGTTAAGGTAATTTGATTATCAGAGATGTATAGTATGATCTATAATTCATGATACAAACAATACAGATGATATAAAGAAACGTTGATCTTTATCTTACAATCACTAAAAATTACATATTTCTCTGATGAATAAGTGTATGTCTGACTAGATTATAATGCTTTCAGTTCGAAATCTGAAGGGTATTTTAAAGTTTCTACAATTTGGATGACATGAGGTGAATTATTTGAAAGTTTATAATGTTTTATAATTATTCGCCGAGTACATAAGTTAGGAGTAAACGAGACACCAAGTGATATAATATGCATGTACACATAAAACAGTATGATAATATTAATATATAAAGAGAGACAATATCAGAATTTGTGTGATAACTTCTGAATTGATTATACTGACTTATTTCTCAGACAAAAATCATGGATTTGTGTTACGTTACTACATTCTAGTAAGAAAAATATTTAATTCAATAATTCAACTGATAACTTCTATTTTTTCCCATCAGTCAGGGAGTTGATACACAGCCTGGATAGTATAAATTAAACATGTATAGACGACTAGAAATCTATTTTATGATAATCATTAGGCTTAGAGACAATTCATTATCAAAATTTATTGCTACTTACATATCAGTATCTCATCATCCGCAAGAAACAATAATGAATCATTATAACATGTTAAGTGTATCTAATTCGACGTGACTAGTTATAAACAATGTAAAAGAAAATTGTGTTTTTCACTAAATCATAACATAAAAATCTAATCTCATTTACTTGGTCAGTTATCATCACTTGCCTATAAACTTTAATTATTTCGGAAAAGGATGCACATAAATTGGTCACATTTTAAAAGAAAAGTGTCAATTAAGACAGAGTATGACATGTAAATGTGGATGTCATTTTATGATATAAGCTAATTTCAGATTAAGTATTCTCTATAAAACTCCTTAACTTAACAATGCAAGTTATTGTTACAATATTTATAGCTTCTAGAAGGATCCTCAAAGTTGTGATCGATCGAATGAAAAGCATTTACCCAGTGATGGTATCGAATAATGATTGTGCCAAAACTGACTGAAGTTAGAAATATGAACCATTAAATTCTGACTCTATGGTTTAATGGTGGTGTGTACATTTCTGGATCTCAAGTTCCTGATATCGATCTTCAGTTCTGCTCACTATCTAAGAGTTTCAGAATAATATGAGACAGTTGTTTATTCTTTGTGTAAGGAGTTTGTGCAGATTATTAAAGTTTACAATTGAAGTAATTGACTGAGAAGTTTCATACTGGTAAAAAAACAGCTATTCAGTTGTTTCTGGTTTTTAGTGATTGTCTTAATTCCCGGAGTTCTGGTAAAAAGCCATAATGGAGTTTGAACATGTCGGGTGTGTATCAGTTATTCACATATGCCATTAGTTGACGGTTACGCAATAATTTGAATAGAAATGCAACCCATTGGGTGCTGACTCGGTGGTCTGAAGGTGAAGAGCTTATCACGAAACTTGAATATCCTGAATTCGATCTGTGTTGTGGTCGTGATTGAGCTCTGCTAACAAATCCCATTTTAG